TTTTGTTTGTGTTTAGTTAAAATACTCTAGGCTTTTAGATCCAAATTCTTATCTTCCCCATGAACAAATGTTTCTGAAATTTCTAGATGTGGACTTGTTGTTGTCAATGTTATCTGGTATATGGTGATGCCTTGCTTCATTTTTTTAAAAAAAGAGATTTATTTATTTTTATTTATTTAAAAGGCAGAGTTACAGAGAGAGGAGGAGAGACAGAGATATCTTCCATCTACTGGTTCATTCCCCAAATGGTCACAATGGCTGGGGCTAGGCCAGGCTGAAGTCAGGAGCCTGGAGCCTCCTCCGGGTCTCCCACATGGGTGCAGGAGCTCAAGCACTTGGGCCATCTTCTGCAGCTTTCCCAGGTGCATTAGCTGGGAGTTGGATTGGAAGTGGAGCAGCTGTGTCGAATTGTCACCCATATGGGATGCCAGTGTTGCAGGCAGAGGCTTAACTTGCTACACCAAACGCCAGCCCCATATTGTGAGTCTTTTCAGTTTAAAAGTTCAGTTTTCCTTTGGCTCAGAGAAAATTTTCTATTACTTCTGTGATATTATTACCCTTCTGCCTTTTTTTCTCTTTTTTATTGTATGTTTGTAACATCAGGATCTATTGTCTGTGTCTCTCAGGTTTTTATTCATTATCTTCATCTTCCTTTTATCTCTCAGTTCTGGGAGAATTTCTTAAAGTTGCCTTTTTTTGGCAGTATCTAATATGCTATTTGTTGCCTCGGTTATGTTTAAAAAATAATTACTTTTTCATTAGAAACCAGTCTTTATGGACCCCAGAGAGGTTCTCTGTTTATATATTCAGTGTCACCTTGGAGCTTGCTAAGAGTATACTTTAAAAATTTTCATTCCAGTTCTTTGGGCTGAAAAATTTTCTTAAGTTAGACACTTGATTTGATTCCTAATACTATTCATGTTTTTAATAATTATCCTTTTTCATATGTCTGATGTATTTTTTGTTTATTCATCTTTGTAGAAGGTAGTCTTTGAGTTTTAGAATTTGAGATGGCTTTTGTCATAATTGTTTCTTAGTTCAAGACTAAGAGTAATTGTTATATCTTCTATAGATTTGATTGATCACTTTCTTTTGGTTTCTTCTCACCTGTTTCTTTTGGGAGTTCATGGTATAGATTAGCAGCAAGTGGGAAAAGTAAGAATCTAAGTATTAGATATCAAAGGGAGAGGGTGTGTCCACTCAAGGTGCCCACAGAGAAGGCAGAACATCTCTCTCTGGTTTGGAGAGGACTGGTTGCCTCCCCAAATGTATAAGGATAGATAATGTTAGGAAAGGCACAGAGATATGCACAGGCACTTAGCTGAAGCAGTTTCTGCATTTCTAGCAGAGTTCCAACTGTGTGGATTGTGCTTGAAGCCACAGTCTTGGTAGCTAGATCTATCTGGAGGTGGCTGTGGCTCGGCCCTGTTGCTTTCTTCCAGATGGGTTTTGAGATGAGTCACGAGACCTTGTACCTGGCAGTGAAGCTGGTGGATCACTACTTGAATGAGACATTATGCAAGAAGGAAAAGCTACAGCTCCTTGGTTGTGCTGCCTTTCTGATTGCAGCAAAATTTGAGGTAAGCCAAAGTTCCAAAGGCCTGGAGAGAAATAACCAAGTTTATATCCAGACCAGTGATATATACAAATATAAGTATATATGTATGTATTTATACAAGCATAAATATATATATGCATATATGTACATATAAGCATGTAAACATATGAGTATGCATTTGTGGATGTATATTGTATGTATAAAATCACATACTTCCATACAAATATTTTTTCCTGCTAAATTGTTTTCTGTCTCCCCAAAGCAGGGAAGCTGGTGTTGGTTGGCAGAGGTGGTGTATTTGCTTCTGGCTTCATCCAAGGTTTTTCCGTTTCTTCTTTGAAGACGTATTGTATGAGCATTTGCCTAATGAAATGAATAGTTTTTTTAAAAGCTTCCTTCTACTCCATGGTTTCCTGACCCCTAGGCTTTTCTTGTTGTACCAACTCCACTCCCATCTAGTGGGATCCTGATTTTCAAATATAATAAAGCATCTGGAAACCAGAGTGCTGGAGACATTTATGAGCAAATGACTTGTGTAGATGTTAGTGAGTGTATCTAGCCCAGGTAAAAGTTATTTTTGAAGTAGCAGTGTAAAATCAAGTAGTTAGCTTTTTCTTCATGACCATAAAACAGGAAGTGGGGAACCTTTTTTTTTTTTTTCCTGCTAAGGGCCATTTGGATATCTATAGCATCATTCATGGACCATACAAAATTATCAACTTAAAAATTAGCCTGTTATAGATGTATTGAATTATTTAAGTCCCATCTGAGATTGCTTTAGCAGGCCTTATACTGCTCTGGGGCTGGATGTTCTTGACCGCTAAAACAACTAGCTAACCTCTCTGGTTCTTTCTCCCTAGATGGGAACTGATCTCTTTCAAGTCTCCCTTTTCCTTCACCTAAGCTAATTGTGTGAATCCTTAGGGCTAGGTAGTCCAGAGGTAGCAACTTTTGCTAAAGGATTCAAATAATCTTGTGGGCGTGTACATGTGCTGACTCCTTCCTTCCATCAATCTCAGGTTTACTGCCCCCCTCACTCCTTCTCTAGCCTGACTGATCCCCTCCTTCTGCCTGTTCCCTCTTTTCCTCCCTGTCTTCTTCTCTTTCCACTTCTTCCTCCATTGTTCCTGTGCTCACCTCCCCCTCCCTGCTCCTGCACTTCCCTACCCCATGCCCCACTGTGCTGCAGGGGCTCACTGTGCTTCCCTGTTCTTTCTCTGCTCTTTGGCTCTCCACACTCCTCTTCCACCCCCTTCATGATCTCCCTACTCTCTCCTTCACATTCTTCACTTTTCTGCTCTCCTCTCTTCGCATCCCCTCACCCTGCCCCATGCCAACCCCTAGCACTGACCGTCTTTGCCCTCTCCCTGCTGTTTCCCCGCTGTGTGTGCTGCTCAGCTCACCACACCTCTGCTCACACTCCATACCGGCTCCCCTCTCCCCTGCTTCCACCTGCACTGGCACTCCCAGCTCTGCAGGGCTCTCCTTGCACTCTGTACTCTCCTCCTGCACCAGCTGGGCTCCTGCTTTCTGGGTTCCTGTCCCCCCTCCCACACCCTCCCCCTTTCCTTATGCTCTCCCTCGCTCCTTGTACTGCCTGTGCTCCATGCTTACTCCACCTCTATTCATGCCATCCCCTCTTATGTGATCGTCCTCCCCCAACACAGACACACACACACACACGTACACGCCCCTGTTCCCCTGGGCATGCTCACTTCTGTTCCTCCTACTCTCCTGGTGCCATCCCTTTCTCTCCTTTTTTCTCACACCCTTTTCTCCTTTTCTCACACCCTCCTTGTGTGCATTTGCTCTTTCCCTCTCCCTGTGCTCTCTCTGCCCCCCCCCCC